GCAATGGCAGGTCAGATGGCAACAAAGGTGGGTCTAGAGGGCATAATGGCAAGTGGACCTTTGGGAGCAATCACAGGGCACACAGTAAGGCCCAGTAGTCTACCATCTTTACCGTATTTCTGTCTTTACACTACTTGTGATTATTACAAAATAGACAGGCCAAATCTTCAGTTATCAAATACAACTGGGAAGTAACTAAAGTTCATGATCAGTTAGTTTTCTCTAAGCACTAAATGGAAAACATTTACTACATACTGTCTTAATTGCTTGCCAACATGTCTTTCATTTTATTTGAAATTTTAAAAATTATTTTCTAATTGTATTTATCATACTTGATGACTAATTCCATTTCCTTTTAATGCAATAAATTTCCATTGGATTCTGTATTCTATACAATCAGTGACTATGTTTTTGATTGAGTTCATCCTTAAAAAAAAAAAAAAGATTTTCTAATGTAAACTTTGAGGAATTAAAATGACAGAGTTGGATTTTCTGACAGTTGTAGGACAGTTCTGTTTTGCTGGCATTGCTTTGCTAGTGTTGTTATAATGGATGTTCATAATGATGGTGAGGAACAAGTTCCTGAAGTGACTTTTGAATCAAAGATTAAACTGCATTCTGTATAACTTTAGCTTCACATAATTTTCAGTTTCTTTGAAAACTGGTAAACCTGTCATGGAACAATTGACCAGAATTTAACCAAGACCTGCTGACCACGTCAGAATTTTATTTATATTAAAGGTAAGGTATCTGCCAGTTTGGTGTGTTGGTTGTGTGTTAAATCCTGAAACTTTATATTTGAACCACAGGTGATTTTCATATTGGTTACTCATGAAGGGCACTTTTGTTCAGAATGAGGGTCTTGGGGCAGAAGCAATTATTTTTTCTTATAATAGTTCTTAGATTTAATTAGACCTCCATGTTACTCAAGTAATAAATAGTAAAGTTTAGGCAAGGTTGCTGACTAGGTTGGTAGATCAGGAGTGATTATGGGTATTGAATTTTAGCAAGACAGTTAAAAAATCTCTTCTGGCATCCTTGTAGACTGGATAATAGTATAGTAAGGTAGATTCATATCTGGCTAATAGACTGGATCAACTTTGTTAGCTCTGTTACAGAGGGTATGACGGTTTTGTTATTAGCCTATTATTTCTTTTTAACTTTTTTTTTTTTTTTTGCCAATGATGTAGCATAGTGACTCTCATAGCATGGTCCAGGACCCTTGGGGGGGTCTCTGAGACTCTTTAAAGGGGTCTGTGAGGTCAAAATTATTTTCAGAATGAAACTAAGATGTTCTAATTTCTAATATGATAAATATCAATATAATCCACATAAACAAAAGCTCTTTGAGGTCCTCAATTTTTAAGAGTGTAAAAGGGGTCCTGAGACCAAAAGTTTGAGAACCATGGACTTAGATGAAGTTCTGTTAGATTTGGGAATGATGAAAAATTACAGGGATCAGATGTAATAAGATGGGGAATGTAGCTGTGATTAAGCTGGTACAGGCAATGCAGATAAGCAAAGTCCTTTTACAACTTCAAAGTCTTAAGAGCCTTGCCCCAGGTTACACAGCTAGTCAGAGGCGGGACTTGAACCCACATTTTCCTGGCTCTAGGATCAGTCCTCTTTGATTTATTTATTTATTTATTCATTTAGGTGAGGACAATTGGGGTTAAGTGACTTGCCTAGGGTCACACAGCTAGTGAACGTTATGTGTCTCCAGGACCAGTGCTTTATCCACTGCGCTACCTAGCTGCCCCTACAGTTCTGTCATATAATACCACACTGACTCCTAGGCTAATAAGATGGAATTTAATAGGAATAAGTAATAAGTCCCATATCTGAGTTAAAAAACAAACTACACAAGTTAAGGACAGTGGAAGAAATAGGAAGTTTTAGTGGCCCACGGGTCCAAGATGAGTCAGCAGTGTTACGTGGCAGACAAAAAGCTAAGCCCACATTTATAGAAATAGAAGGAAAGGGGCAGCGACTAGGATAATGTGGTCAGAGCTCATCCTAAAGCGGGTGGTCACAATGTTGGGTTGGAACCATGAAGGGCTGTCCCGTGGGGAGGCAGGACAGAGCCAATGGGGATGGGTTGGAATGACTGACAGGAAACCAGATTTTAGCATAACATTCAGAGAAGATTCCCTCTCAATGAGAGCTATACCAAACCAGAATGAATTGCATCTGCAGGAAGGCGTTTCCTCCTCACTGGATACATTTAGTGCCAACGCAGCTATATTAGATGACTTGCTATATAGAATAGGCTTATGCTTTGAGTGTGGGTATTAAACTATGGCTTCTTGTAACTCAAATTTAAAAACAATTTTAAAAAAGACGCTTATAAATGTTTTAATAAATCCAATTTATTTACAGAATACATATTTTTTCCATGCAGTCCACTGTAAATTGCACTCAGTATAAACACAGAGTGACAGTATCTTTGCTACTTGTTGCTAATGGCTTGACTTTACACAAAGATTCTTGTGTTACTAAAGCTAGTTGACTATGAACCCATAAATTACTATACAAAATTCAAAATGGCTCTAAACTTCAAAATAATTTTTTTAGCCTACAGTTTAAAGCAGCTTCTGATCCTGGCAGAACTCAAGTTTTATTAGTAATTAGAATATCAGTGCGCTTTTAAACTTGTTTTACTGACAGATTTGGAAAATAAAATGAACAGATGTACATTTAAAAGGCTCAAATTTGGGAGGCAAGTTGTAAGTAGTCATTTAATATTAAGTAATAAGACTTCTAAAAATACCAGTGTGGAGTTCACACACAAGTAGTGGTCAATCAGTATTGACAAACTGAAGTGTGAGTTGTTTGCAACCTACATTCATTAACACCTCAACAAATAAATATACCACATTAAGATTTACAAGTAGTACAAAATTTACAAGAATAAAGGCTTTAAGTGTTGAGATGTTTCTTGTATAATTCTCCCTAAGACTAGTATAGTCCATTTAAAAAATCCTACTCATGGCATTGTATAAGTATCAAACATGTCAAATAATGTTGCAAAGAACTTAGTTGTTTATGCTGAAGAGATTTGACAATAATCAGGTTGAAGACCCAGATGAACTCTCAAGTTACCTGTAACTACTGTGGCATAGCACAGATCCTTTTTCCTTTGCCCGAGAAGGCAAAATAATTGATTGTTTGAAGGCAAAAATGTTACAATAACCCACTAAAAGATGCTTGAGAGGATATCCAGCCAATATTTTCAGTAGCTTTCTAAAGGCGTGGGGTAACTATTGTATAGCCATTTTCAAAGTGGGAATGCCACCAGAAAATGTGAAATGCTGTTCTTTTTTAAAAAAAAAAAAAAAAAGGAAACTTTACCTATATATTGCACTTGAGTATCTCAAAAGCTGGGGGAGAAAAGTTAACATTTCCGTTTTCTGGATGGATAAATGAAGGCAAAATTAGCATTCTAAAGGTCATACCAGATGTATAATCTGAATGTGTTATCATTCAACATTCCTTAGGAAAGTCGAGCAATTCTAATTTTCTTCAAATACACTATTAACTCATGAACTATAGTTTATCTTTTAAAAGTTTGTTCAACTTAGCAGTAACAGGTTTTTAACACCATAGCCCTCTTGCTCTTAAGTCTTTATCTTATGTATGTTAGAACAAGAGAATCCAAAACATTTCCCTGTTTGACAGAACACTGAGATTGCATGTCTTAAGTACGTAAATGGAAATAATAACAATTTTAAGACTCCAAATATTGGTTATTTCTATGACAATACTGTAGTATAACCATAATGCTAACATTAGGGGACAAGAGTATGAAGAACCATAACTAATCAAACTGGGCGACTGCATCACTGTACTCCAGTGGTTCTCAAAGTGTGGTTGGAGTTCCCTGGAACCCTTCAAGGGATCCAAGAAATAAAACCGATTTTCGTAATAATACTAAGATGTTTTATTTCTAAAAAATGAAAAAGCATCAATACATATAATCCACAAAGACTTTTTGGGATCCTCAATTTTTAAGAGTGTAAAAGGGGCCCTAAGACCAAGAACTTTGAGAATCATTGCTTTTACTCCAAAGCTAATGGCTGATTTTAAAATGAAGCCTTGGCAATATCCTACGAAGATGGGATCTTTCATCAGGAATTTTGATACTCAGTTTCTAGGAAAAGGGTTACATGTGTGAATGCTTAGCATGACTCCAGCTCTGGGAAATTCTGGGGCCCTTTCTTTGCATTAATGTTCAAAGTTTGGAAAGATAGATGAAATTAGCTATTGTGGCCGATCTGATAATAGGAATACAGTTCCATTGCTAAATCATCTCAATTTCCAGTGAGAATGACCACATAGTTAATCTACGTCTGTATATCTTCCAAGCTTGTTTAAAATCAAGTTTTAGAGCTAAAATTCATAGAAGGTAACAAAAAAGTTTATTATGACAAACCCTAAAACCTGAAAGGGATAGTGTTCTTCTGAAAACCTATACAACACAACCATTTGATAATCAGTATTTTCAAAGTAAAAAAAAAAAAAAAAAAAAAAGACCTTGTTGCACACTTAAGTCAAATCAAAATGATTTTTCAGATCCACTACTCTAGTACTTGTTAAACTCAGGCTATTATTGCCTTGATCAGGCACAAGAATAATTCTGTAATCACAGATGCCATCCTCCAGTAATGTTCAATGCTTCCTAGAGAAATAAAGCTGGTAAATAAAATAACCTCATTTTCAACAATATAGATTGGTTTAACACTCTTTGTTGGTGCTAAGTTGGCATATGTGAGAAGCTGAATACATACAGCAGAATTAAATAAGTTGTGAGGCCCATTAAGTGAGTTATTGGGCAACAACCATAAATCCCCCTGAGTGTATTTTTCAAAACTTTCACAAAATATTAATCATGATACACACCTTAAGATAACAAAAGAAAAACACAACCTTTGAAGTATTAAGAATAGACAGTTTCCACCATCTAATATTGCTTGACATTTGACTATACCAGGTTGCCATACCTGCATTCACAAATGTGGAATATAGTCAGGACAAGGCTTGCTGTGTCTGTACTGCATGACAGTTACTGTGGACTGATGCCACCAGTACAACATGATCACTGCAAGAATGTGCCATATTTGGTGGCTCGACCCGAGGTAGTTTAGCTGTCCTGTAAGGATAAACAGGAGAAAAAAATAAACCTAATTACCAATTCAAGGTGCTGGTTTGGATGTTACTTTTTTACCTCTGGCCTTGCAAGGGCAGACCACCAGGCTCAACCACTTTAACAGACCTAGTAAGTCTCAGAGTTCTTGAAGGGAGATATATGGCTAATATGAGAAAGAAAAACTTTTTAGTCATGGCTTCTTGTTTTAACCTAGAAAAGGTAAAGGCATTCATATGTAACAAAAGTCATCTCTTGGGAGCGCAGGGAGAATTTGTTCTCATGCTTTGATAAACAATTTTTTTTTTATTAATTTATTTTTAGTTTTCAACACTCACTGCCACAACATTTTGAGTTCCAAATTTTCTCCCCATCTCTCCCCTCCCCCCACCCCAAGACAACTTGCATTCTTAATATGTTTTCCCCTAATCTGCCCTCCCTTCTATCACCACCCTCCCACCCCTTCTATTTTCCTGTAGGGCAGGATAGATTTCTGTACCCCTTTGCCTTTATATCTTATTTCCCAGTTGCATATAAAAACAATTTTTACATTCGTTTTTAAAACTTTTCAGTTCCAAATTCTCTTCCTTCCTCCCCACCCCCCACATTGAGAAAGCAAGCGATTTGATACAGGTATTACATGTGCAGTCATGCAAAACACTTTCATAATAGTCATGTTGTGAAAGACTATCAGATAAACAATTCTTAATGGGGTTTTTCAAATGAGGCAGGTCTAGTACTCTCATACAGTTACATACCTGGAAAGTATCTTTCTGGAACTTTGGAAATATAGAAGAGGAAAGCAACAAGAGCAATCACATACATCACAATCACACGAGGTGCAAACTCCTGTAAAGGAAAGCACATATGCCAGGGTGACAATCCAAGCTGCAATTAGAATCACAATCCTCCCTCAACGCACAAAGCACTGCAGTACTACACACGGGAGGAAAGGCAGGATGTCAATCCTGGCACTAGCTCGGCTCCATATCAGCAATTCCTACGTTTGGCTACAATATCCATGAAAAGCGGAAAGCTCATCACTTCTGACGCCTGTTCCATCATCCAACGTCTTTAACAAATGACCCTTTTGGAGACTGGCTCCCCTAAACAGTCCATGGTTTTCAGACCCCTTGTCATCCTAGCCAGCTTCCACATTTGCTCTGCTTTCTCCAAGTCCCTCTAAATCTCTAGTGCCCATGCAATACTCCAATATGGTCTAAACAATACAAAATTCAAGACAAAATTCCCTTGATCAAATGGTAGCCTAAAGATATATTCATTTAGGGAGGGGGTGTGTGGGTTTTTTAATTAATGAATTTTTTGGGGGCAACTGCATCATACTATTGATTAAGTTATGGTCAAGTGAAAAAGATTTACATATTTTTTAAATATCAATTTCTAAATCAAGTCGAATTTAAAGCAGCACTTGGGTATTTGATTCTTTCCACCCCCCACTCCCCCCAACATAAGTACATACCGGCTTTTTACATTTATTTATTGCGGTTATGTTTCATCTTACTAGTTTAGAACCAATTACTCACATGGTACCTTCTTTTTTATATCCATTCTACATAGCATTTCATCTGAAAAACAACTGTATGTTTAAGTGGAATACAGGCTAAATATGAGTCAGTAAGGTGATCTGGCAGCTAAAAAAACAATCTTGGACAAAATTGTAAGTGAATTGTAAACAGTGTCCAAGACTAACTGGGGAGGAGAATACAAGATATAGAGTACATAAATTGGGTAACACTCTTTGTTGGTATAAAGTTGGCATTTGTGAGGAAAAGGCAAATATGCACAGAAGAAACAGCAGAATATTCTGGGAACCTTTTTCAAAAGGACATCAATAAGTTGAAAAGTATATGGAAGAACCTGAATAGGATGGTGGAGGGCCTCCAAATCATACGATATTGATTCAGCTAAAGGAACATGGGATGCTTAACTTGGAGAAGGGAAGATCTAAGGCGGGGAGGGTAGGCATTTGGATCTATCACAGGGCAGAGGGTTCTGATTTATTCTGCTTGGTTCCAGATTAAAAATTATGGGTAGAAAATGTGGAGGGGCAGATTTAGACTTGAGGTAATGAAAAAATTCCAAATAATGAGAGACATCCTGAAGTGGAAGGGGCTACTTTGGAAGACAGTTCATAGCAAAAAATTAGAAACGAGGTGTGTGCCCAATAATAGGAAATCGCTGAATAAATTATTATATATGAATATAATAGGATATTACTGCACTGTAGAAGATGATAGAAGGGTTGGATTCAGAGAAAATTGAGAAGACTTGTATGAACTGATGCAAAGTGAAGTGAGCAGAAACAGGAGAATGCTCTACAATTCTAACACTGTAAAGGACAACTGTGAAAGACTTAACGCAATGATCAATATAATTCCTGGAGTGCTTAATGCTTTCAGTTCTACAACTTTCTCCTGGGGCCCCTTGCCAATGCACTTGTACCCTTCCCACCCTTCTGGCATGATAATCCAATCAATAATGCTGCTGGAAGGGGTATGTCAATCTTTTTACCATTCCTGTAACTCTTTTTTTTTTTGGTGAGGCAATCAGGGTTAAGTGACTTGCCCAGGGTCACACAGCTAGTAAGTGTTATGTGTCTGAGGCCGGATTTAAATTCAGGTCCTCCTGATTCCAAGGCTGGAGCTCTATCCACTGTGCCACCTAGCTCCCCCCTGTAACTTTCCAAACCAAAATCTTCTTTCCTGGCTAACACCCCATAAGTCTCCCACTTCAGAATTTAAGCTTCTTGAAGACAGAGTGTCTGCATTTGTATCCCCTTAGCAGAACATATATCGCACACAGTAAGTGCTTAACCAGTGCTTCTTTGTTCATCTAGTTTTTTCTTGCCATATGATATTATTCCGATTTCATTTACTCAGAGTAGAGGCAGCATGGTAATGCTCTGGAGTCAAGAGGCCCTGGATTGAAATCTCACCTCTCCTGGTTACTCCCTACATGGTCTTGGATAAATCACAGTCCTGAAGTTTCCTCTCCCATAAAAAGAAGGGATTGGGCACCATGGTCTCCGAGATCCCTACAGCTGTCAATCTAAGACCCCGAGAACTAAATTCATCCTTTCTTGGGTATTACAGCTCTGTGTCCCATTCCATAAGTTAGTGATTTGGAGCAGCACAGTCTACTTGACATCCAACTAAATACTGCTCTTGAGTCTATTCTGTCTTCTCCCGATTATCGGCTCTTCTCCACCACAGGCTTGCCTTCTGTCCCACCTGTTATCGTCCGTGTCATCTGGTTTTACAATTTTTACTGAGCATTGATAAAACCTGTATCTCCTTCTTAGTTTTCTGTTGGGTGGTGTTTCCTCTGCTTTGGAAAAACGTTCTACCTGTTGGACAAGTGCAATGACAGTTTGTTTCCTCACGCTGTTGTATTTAATAACCACACTGTATTAATTCTGATTACTGCTCTATCAGTCTGTCAGGGGCCCCAGTCTGTATCTGTAAAGATGGGATAAAATACCTGTCTTGCCTACTTTTCAGGCTTGTTATACAGAATGTACTCTCTACATTAGTACCTTCTATTTCGTTTAGATGTTCACTTAGTGCACTTACAGTCTAATGACACACTCTATTATATTGTAATCAAGTACACGGCTCAGCCACAACGAAGAACTGAAATCTGAGTATCCCGTACTACTGAAGGCTTTTGTGGAGTTAGTGTGGCGGCATATGGAATGATTTTGCTGCACTCTGAAGTCCATGGCAAAACTCCTGGTTAGTGGTAATTATCTTTGTCCTAACTATCAATCTCAGGGAAACCTCTTTGGTGGTCCTGTTGCCCTTTCAAAGTTTAGGTGGGGATTAGCCTGACAGTTCTCTCTGCACTTCTGGGTGTAAAATGAATGGAACATTCCGATCTCCAGTGGGATGGGAACACCTCGAGAGTAGGGACGTGCTGTTTTCGTCTGTCCCAACACATTTAGCCTAGCATCTGGCACACAGCAGGTGCTCAATACATGTTTGCTGACTGATGGGCCCCCAAGCTTGCCAAATGATCCTGACAGATGTTTGGTGTCAGTGCTAGACACTGCAATTCTAAATATTTCTAAAATTAAATTTGTATAGACCAAGGTAATAGTATTAAGAAGCTGATCTGTAGTTATGTACGTTCTCATCCTTTTTGTCTAGGATTAGCAAAATGCAGCAAAAAGTGATGGGAAATAAAAAGGTCTTTTGTTGGAATCCTCACTAATCATTTTTATGGATGATGGCTTCCAGGATACAAAGAAACATGACAACAAAATGGATCTATGACATCAATCAGGAAATCCTTTTCAGCCATGCAGATCGTAACCCATCCCGTGGGCTTCTTGTGCATGTCCTGCTCTCTCAAAAATCTATCAGCCAATAAGTTTAACTTTGTTATCCTGCCTCCCCAAAATACAGTAAAAGAGTTTATAATAAATAGCAGAAATGTCTATTTACATTTTGGTTTCCTTTCTCCCGCTTACTGATTGATCATCTCTTATTCATAATTATCGTCAATCCTCATCCCAACCCTGTTAGTGTGTTTTTAAATGTTTAATGAAAATAATTATGACCAGTGAAATAGGTTTAAATTTTTTTTCCAGCTGGCAGAATAAAAGGGGGAAAGAAGGCAAAAGACTTAGATATTTCTACTCTAGTGAAGAAAGACCTGCCTTCTTTCTTCACAAAGTGACACTGTTGATGTGCACTTATAAATGTGTGGCCAGATGATGGCAGTGTCCTTCCTGGTTTTCTACCACTGTGTGAAATAGTTGTCCAAAGAGATGAGAGCTGGAGAATAGAATGAAAAATGTTTTGGCCACAAACGACATACCTGTACAATAGGTGCACCAACACCGCCATTGAGCCAGACCCAGTGGATAGTGGGAATCACTCCATACCCAGACACTGAACAAAAGATAATGGAACGAAGTCTGTGCCACTGTTGAGTGAGGTAATTGGGGTGAATCTGAGCAAAGAAGACGGTGAGGATCATAGCAAGCACCATAATCAGATAGACCTGACGCCAGTACTAGAAGGGGAAGGAAAAATAAATGCATTTTTGTTAGTTAGTTACAGGGAAATTAGAGCTTCTGAATTATAAATCAGAATTATTTATTCAATTCCCTTTATTCATATTAAAAGCTGTTCTATAGCTTGTGAATTCTTGGAAAAGTATACTAAAATTACACACTTACATACACACATAACAAACAATGTTAGAGATGAGAAGCAGGCATGTAAGTTATTATGGATGACTTTTAAATTGCCCTTTTTTGTTAGTACTCGATCTTTCTCATTCTTGTGTGTGTTTCCCTTCTTTGAGACATCATGTCTTTCTTACCTAATGCGGTGGTGTGAAACTCAATAGAAATAGAGGCCACCAAATCACAAATAAGGAGCCTTATGGGTCACAAACTAACTTAGGATACTAGAAATTAATCTTATGTTTTATTGTACTCTTGTTGATTATGTTAATTAAATATTTCCCAATTACATTGTAACTTGGCTTGAGCTGCATTCAGGATTGCCTGATGCATTTGATGTAAAGCATAGATTTCTTCTGTCCTTATGTGGCCAGGTCTAACCATTCTTCCTTTATTTATTTTTTTGCAAGGGTGCTTCAAATGACTGATACTCTTTTATTGAACATCCACCTTCTCCCACTGATGATTAGGCTCAGTTTGTGGACTATATCATTTTGACCATCTTAAGCTGGTTTGACTTTTGGAATATGTTATTCCATTCCCTTCTTTGGTTTCTGGGGGATACAAAGTAGTCTTGTATTATTTCATTTTATCTTCCTTAATATTTGAAAGTGTTTTTCTTGGTCTCCAGTAGCATTTAATGTTTTTCACTGGAACTTTAAATTTAACCACTCTATCTTAAAAGTGAAGCACACAATTATTTCCCTGGTGGCAATCTGTAGATTCTTTCCATTAGTGCTCTGTTTTCTGTGTTTCAAAGATCTGGGTAGTTTCCTTGTATTATGGTGTTCAGATTTTTCGACCTGTCATGTTCTTCTGGGAGGCCTGCGATACTTAGGTTTTCTCTCTGCATCTTGTCTTTGATATTGACATGTTTTGCTGATACAGAGATGATGGGTTCTTTTAATAGTTTGCTTTATTAGCTTCTCTGGAATAGCGAGGTTTCCAATCTGCTGTTCTCTTTCATGTCTTTGGTGAGATTTGCTACCATGGATTCAAGTTTTCTATTCTGCCAATTCCTTCTGCTGTGCAGGTCATCTGTTCTTGTTAAACTCTGCTCTCAAACTTCTGATTTCTCTCTTCAGCCACTCTGGAACATCCTGCTCTAATTCCATGCTCTCTGGAAGTCCACAGGATGTTGTGTGTCTTCAGATACAGGTTTGTCCTTGGCAGCCAAAGAAGAGGGAAGAGGATAAGGCAGGGAAAATAGAGAAAGCTACCTAGAGCACAAAGAGCAAAGAGACAAACAACATCCCACAGGGTGTGAGAGGAGGCCTTCCCTGGCAGTGCCTTATCCTTGAGCTCAGGATCAAGTCTAAGATGAAAATTCTCAGGAGTGTAGAAGTTTTATTAAGAAACAAACAAACAAAAAATACTATTGTCCATAGGTGAGCAGGAAATAATCCATTCATTAGAAGAACACAACAAAGAAAAAGTAATGAACCCTTGTGCAACCTGGAAGAAGGTCTTCAGTGCTATGCCATGGCTGTCTTATTCGCCACTTTTATCAGTGATCTGGATAAAGATGCAAAAGGCATGTTTATTAAATCTGTGGATAACATTCAGCTGGGAGGAATTAGATAACAGAACAGGGATGCAAAAGATCTCCATAGGCACTGGACTGTATCTAACTGAAATAAATATCATGATAAATATAAAGTTCTAGACTTAAGTTAAAAACAGATGTACTATACTACAAGTTCAGGATGGGGAAGGCATGGTTTAATATCAGTTTAAGTAAAATCTATCTATCTATCTATCTATCTATCTATCTACACACAAAAATTATTCCATTTTCTAATGGCAAAAGAAAAGAAAACTCCTTATTTCTGGCTCTTCTTATGAGTGTGTGTGTGTGCATGAGCACGTGGACACTGGGATTCCTTGCTTCCTAAGCTCATTATAATGCTCTAGAGTTCTCTTCTTTTTCACCAATACTCTGGTGGGAGGAACATATGTTAAAGACTGAATTTGCCTCCTTCCTGTCTGCCTTATTGGCCTATATAAGTTTACTTTCATTTCTGGAGGAGGGATGGCTAAGATAGATAACAGAATGGAGATTAAAAAAAAAAATCTTTGCAGGAGCAGCTTTGAGGATATGCCAAAAAGTAGAAGAAAAGGCATGAAGAAAGAGGAAGCTGGAGTACTGCAGACAAACCTGACTTTCCTTCAATTATGATGAGGCCTGGCCCCATTTGCTTTCAGTTGTGCCTATGCTTTGGTCCTCAGAAATAAAAAACAGAAAGATAATGAGCCTCATTTTGTGTACTGGCAAGACTGTGATAAGAGCTATGTCAGGCAATGATATGGAATTGGAGAGAAGGGAAGAATTTTGACTTAAGGATGCAGTTTTTAGAGCCATCTGCATGCCTAAGGAGTAACTAAATGATGTGACTCCTACTCACATGAAAATTAAGTATCAATTAACAGTAGAGACTACTTTGTATGCTTCATGTATACTTTGTATTTCACTTGCTACGTACCTGCTACTTTTCCCCAACAGGACTGTGAAGTCCTTAAGGGCAAGGACTTCTCACTTTTGTCTCTCTATCCCCAGTGCCTGGCAATGAAAGTACTCAAGATTATATTGCCAAACAGCGCAGACAGACCCTGGATGACCACACAATAACTCAATGTCTGCAGCCCATGGCACACAATTTTTCTTTACTGAAAGAACAGTAAAATTGGTAAAAAGATGACTTAGATTCTAGAACTCAATTCCCACCCCAAGAATTACTTTTACAAATAAACATTCTACTTCCACATAAAATATTCTATATTCCCCACCAGTGAATTACGCACCACTCATAAATACAAGCTTTCATCCTGGGAACTGGAACACCAATATGAAAGATTGAAAGGCCAATAAGAAATACGTTTAAGTTACTTACGTTATTACAATAAAATGCATAAAATACTCCTGACACATAGCAACCCAGTATGCCAACAGAAATGCCCGCATAATCTAATGCCATCCATCGCCGACAGGTTTTTTCTGAACGATGACAAGAGAAAAGGTGATAGCCTACAGAACAAAGCATGCAGACCTACAAAAAGCAAAAATAAAAGAAAGCTTAGTGACATTGAAAAGACAAATTTGAAACCAAAAACAAGGCAGTGATTACTGAATCCAGTGCCTGAAAATCTAGAAAAAGTTCTCAATCTAAAAATGTCATTAAGTTACATCCTGTATTATCTAAGATTTAATTAGTTATTAAGACTATGTATGACCAAATTAAATCAAAATGATTAAGCACTAAAAAAGAATATCAAACTATCACATCTTTTATTAAGTAACCAAGAGTTTCATGATAAAATCACACACTAAATATGGCTTTTCTTGATTCCAGGATAAGCCAGCATGATTTAAGCTATGTTGGTTTATAGCCTAAAACTGATGTTAAAACAATGCATCCGATCATGTCTGTGGGCTCAACAATAGGGAAAGGGCAGAGTGGGAAGAGCTGAAATTCGGGTGTGAAGACCCTTGAGTTTGAGTACCAGCTTTGCTGCTGTCTAGGTGTGTGAGTTTATCTACGTAGACCTGAGTTTCAGTTCTCTCATTTATAAAGTGAATAGATTAGACGACTTGATCTCTGGGGTCCCAAATCTATGGTTCTAACAGTATCGATTAAATCAGAAGATGGTTGTTCTGCAGTCTGACTTCTTCACACAGAGAATATCAAAATGAATAAATTTAAAATATATAAAGTATTTAATTTTCTTAATATATTTTCCAACTTTTGTCTACTAAGGATTATTATAATCTCACTCGGTAGAATGGATATGTTCTTGAAAAGTCTATTAACAAACTTTGTGGAAACATTTGTTTCCTCATTGATTCTGATTATAAAACTGGACTTAGATTCTAAAAGGAGGAGGAGGAAAATTTGGCATTAAGCATAATAAAAACAATACTAAACATCTCAAGATTCAACTGTAAAGGAAAAATAATTTTCTGATAAATCCAAAGGAAATAATACATACTCTAAAGAAACTTTGAATATTACTTCAGAAACTGTTTTTCTCTGAGATCAGTTCATAGGAAAGGGATGTGTTTCTTGGTTTTGCAGGTGTCAAAAAATTTATCTGTAGTAAAGAAGGAAGGATAGATTCTGCCTTCCCACTCTGGCCATTTCATGTCCTCAAGCGCTCTCTCTCCAACCAGAACTAGCTCGGCAAGATAAGAAAGCAAATGATATAATCATTGGGGCTTCTGCTTGATCAGTTTCCTATTTTCTTTCACGATATACAATGTATGGAGAAATATAAAAGGCTACGGGGGGAATCAGTGGTTTCTGTACACATACGTACCTACGTACCAACACGCACGCACGCACACAAATTTAAATTCATGGCTAAAAGAGGAGATTGGATTGGTAAGAGGCTAACAGTCTGGATTTGAGAGGAAGTAATGGCCCATTTTAGACTTGCATTAAACACTGACTTTGCACAAAACCACCACAAAGTACAAGGGAAGCTAATATGGTTTACTTTTATGGCAGGCTTTCATTTTCAGCTTTGAGAGGGAAGGTGGGGGAATACATATGTGACATATTTTAATCAGAAATGATTAAATATGATTTTCTTTTTTTTCCTTTAGATGTAGCATCTCAGTATGTTTACTGCATTTTTGTATTGTTTTTATTATCCTTAGGGTTAAATTGTTTCTTCTTTTAGAAAAAATTCCAATTTTATAATGAAAAAAATGGGGGCAGGGAGATCAGTTTAAAGTTTTGTTAGAGATCACTTTTAAAGAATATATCCATTCCACAGAGTGAGTTGAAGAGAGAAAAAAAATTTCTTTGGATTGCAAACTCTCCACATGAAGATTATTAGTGATTACGGCAAATTTTTAAACCTAAGATTTACTACCTAGGATGATGATGATGATGATGATGATGATGATAATGATTAATATTTGTATATTGTTTACAATAAGGGGCAGCTAGGTGGTACAGTGGATGGAGTGCTGCGCCAGGTATACCTAAGTTCAAGTCCAGACTCTGATACTTAGTGTCACCCTGGGCAAGTCACTTCGCCCTGTTTGCCTCAGTTCCTCATCTGTAAAATGAGCTGGAGAAGGAAACTGCCAACTTCTCCAGTATCTTTGCCAAGAAAACCATAAATGGGGTCATGAAGAACCAGACACGACTGAAATGAATGACAACATTTTAGGTATGGTAGAAAATCTACAAATGACATATATGGATAAACAAATGTTTATTATGTGTATTTCAGCCAAAGAATATAGTTTAACCTTCTCAAACAGTCATTTTTCATTGTTACAGAATTGAAAATATGATCTAACTATGGTGTAAAGTAATAAAGTTGATTTCATAAATCACAAGTGAAAATCAGTCTTATTACTTTGTGGTCATATCTCTTTGGAAAACTGTGTGTTTAGAAGTTCTTTAAAACTATAAAATTAGGTTACCAATGTTGTTTGCTTTTACAATAATTTTTATCATACCCTCAATAAATTATTAAATTTAGAAACCACATCAGTATTTCCTGAAAATCCTATAGGAAGAAAAATGAATAGTGAAGTTAGACAAAAGGTCATTCATTGAAATACTAAACAAAACTAATTTAAAATGCTATGAACATATAAATGGAATAGACTGAGACAAAGCTAAAGCAAATACTAACCACTTGAAATCGGATCAAAGTTTAAGCAGACTCCAGAGAGTCATAAATAAACATAAAAAAGATGGATAAGTCAGATAAGCACAATATAATGTTGAAAATTAGGAAAAATAGAAATAGTAGAAGCAACCAACACAAGGCAATGGGAGGGAAAAAAACAACAAGCTTATACTATTAGACATTTTACGACTGTCTGATAAAATTGATTGCAACCATAAATCACTGACAAACATTTATTAAATGCTGACTGTGTACCAAGCACTGCGCTAAATTCTGGCGTTACAAAGAAAAAGCAAAAACAGTCCTTGCCCGCATTTAGAAATTTACAATAATATTAAGTGAAGGAATCTTTGGGGATTGTTTTTTTTAAGTGGGAGAAGGAAATTTTTGTCTGTGCAACTGCAGTTTCTCAATCCTGGAAACAACCTGGATCTCAAATCTCCAAAAGAAAATAATAGGTTTTTGATGCTAAGACTAATAACAACTAAAATGTGAATTATTTAATTTGCCCTATTCATATAGACTGGCTGAGGCAATCCAATGTCACCCACATTCTCTCATGATTCACCCTCCACTCCTGCTTAGAAAACTACTCACCTGAAAGCAGAAAAGACAAATAGAACAGATGACAAAATCTTCTCTAGAAGCCCTTGCTGAAGGTAACACAGAAGTCATGTCATATATACCCAGTGTGAAGAAGAGGAAGAAGCCCAGCAAATGACTCCAGATGTTCACCGTCTCATTGGATAAGATGAACAAGCTGCAAAACAAGCACGCAAACAGTCATTCCAGATCCCAAGTGTCCGGCACGCTGCCAACATTTCCACGTCATGGGGAAATGACCCTGACGCTTAAAATGTTTGCAGACTGAGGGCAAATATCTAACAAGTCCACTTGCACATGAAGCTCCCCAGGTTAGAAGCAGCATGGCAGAATAGAAAGGATGCTGGACTTCAGAGTCCGGACCCTGGTTCAAACACCAGTTCTCTGATTTATTCTGCGTGACCTCAGGCAAACGTCTTAGCCTTTTGGGACCTGAGTTTCTTCATCTATAAATGAATGAGTCTAAAGACACTCTCCAAGGTCCTAACCATGGTCCCCTACCGAAACCGGATTTCTAGATCAACTCTGCTCAATTACAAAGTAGTAAGTAGTTAAGGATGTTCAATTGCAGATACTACATTGAACTTGAGAAAAGCAATCAATGAATTGGAAAATATTTGAGAAATCTGTCCAGCCTGATAACTTTGATCCTTTTACTTCGAAACTAAGAGAAAATTAGTCAACACTTGTCCAGACGAGTTTATTGAGCTTAGGTTAGGTAAGACATAATTCGATATTTCAAAGAATCACAGGCATATAGAACTGGAATGGTCCTTAGGATCCATATCCCCTCCTACCACTTATTCTACAGATGAGGAAAATACATCCTAGAAAAGTTCAATGACTTAACCTGAGTTACACAGTGGCAGAATTGGGGCTAGAACTCAGGTCTTCTAACTCAGTCTAAGAACAGTAGCATTAGAGTCAGGACAACTGGCTTCCAATCTAGGCTGTGCTACATGTTCCTTGTGTGACTTGGAGTAAGCCCTTCTGGGACTGTTTTCTCATTTATAAAATGAAAGGGTAAGACTAGCTACCTCCAAGGTCCCTTCCACCTTTACAACCTATTAACACATAAATCCCGGGCATTTCTGAGCAGCCACTATGTGACAGAGCCTAAGGATACAAGTACAAAAGTGAGTCAGTCCCTGCCTTCCACTGGGGAGATACAACACCAAGTAAAATCCTAGCACTACAAAGTAATGTACTGACACCTGGGAGAATCTAGACTAACTGCCTGAAGGAAGCAGCGTTTGTGGGAAGCTGGGGATTTCAAGAGGTAGAGGGAGAGAACATTCCAAGTCTGGGGGAGAGACAGGCTATGCAAAGGCTGACGGGACGGATGGGATGTCTCATACAGGGAAGAGTCAACGATCCATTTCGTTAGGTCAAAGTGTGACACTAGGAGTGATGTGTAATTAGCTGGCAAAGAAACTGGAGCCAGATTGTATATTTAACGCTCTAAGGAAAGAAGGGGGTGATATGATCAAACATTGTGCTGTAGGAATATCAATTTGGTAGCTGTATACATAACTGAATGGAAGTAGGATGGTAGGAGACCAATTAGGAGTCTATTGTAATAGCATAGGCCAGGGGTGATAAGAACCTCATCTAGGGACTTTGTGATGTGAACAGCAAGAATGAGAGGCATTAAGAGATGTGAAGGTGGGACAGGATTTGGTAAATGATTCAGGGCAAGTGTGAGAAAGGGCCTTGAAGGGAAGTAGATTTTCCAAGAGGCAGAAGAGAGAAGAAGGAAGTGCACTTCAAGCAACTTCCTTCTAGGCATACGAGAGCAGCCCGGACAAATGCACAGACAGCAGGAAGGGGCTGGTCAAAGTCAGGAACAGCCAATACTTCAGCTTGGCAGGAAGGGTGAACTCTGTCCTCTCCAGACCACAGATAGAGGGTGGTGTTCCATGCTGCCTCATTTTAGGAAGCACAATAACAAACTGATGTGTATCCAGAGAAGGGCAAACCAAATTGTTAAGGACTTGAGGCCATGCCATCCAAGGCCCTGAAGGAACTGAATGTGGGTAGCCTTAAGAAGAGAAGAGTTAAAAGCATGGGCAAAGGCAAAGAGTTGAGCTGGAAAGGGGTAGAGACGAGGAGAAAGGGAGAGAGGAAGGGAGGGGAGGAAGGTGAGAAAGAAGGAGGGGGGAGGTACAGAGAGAGACAGACAGACAGACAGGGGCTGGATGGTGTGGGCCAGGATGCCAGCAGAACTAGGGAAGCTTTAGTTACTATCTCACTTCCACATCAGCAACCATTGGTGCTAAGCCAAGAAGTTGTGGAACAGACGTGGGCTGTCTGAATTCATTCTGCTCCCAGGTGGACTGATCTGGCATCAGCTGAGGGCCCTATGCAGACAAACAGCCACTGAAAACTCTGAGACCCCAAGTAACTTACTTGCTAGCAGCTTTTAAACTTGTTGCCTTGGGTTTTACATTCCTGTAGACTGTTCTTACTGCCTTGTGGATCACTTTTACCTGGGGGTTCTGTCTTTATTAAAGGAATTATTTATGCAAACAGTACAGAAAAATAGACTGGAGCCAGATTATGAAAGACAAATGCCAAACAGAGTCTGCATTTTATCCTAGAGGCAATAGGGAAACACTCTTCAGCAAACTTTCTGACATGAGCAGACCTGTCCTCTAGGAATATCAATTTGGCAGTTGTGTCAGGGATGGAATACAGATGGGAGAGCCTAAATGGGGGAGTAGTTAGGAGTCTACAGTAATAGTCCTCACCCGAGGTAATGATGACCTGGATTAAGGTTGTGGAAGTGAAGAGTGTTGAGAGGGGAAGAGGGACAAGAGACGGGATGGAATTAAGACTTTTACAGTGACTAGATATGGAGTGAGGAACAGAGAAGGGGACAGAGAGAGAAACAGAGGGACAGGGAGGGAAGGAGGGGGGAGAAGAGCATCTAGATCAGGGGATTCTTCACCATTTTTGTGTCATGGTCAGCCTGATAAAACCTACAGACCCCCTTCTCAGAATGCTTTAAAATGTATAAAGTAAAATGCACAGGATTACAAATGAAACCAATCTACAGCCTCTGGTACACCCCCAATGAGGGAAGTTAACAAGTGAGAGACTTACAGAAGAGCCTGAGGACACTCAGTCTGACAAGAAGCAGTACCATGAAAACCCAAGGAGTAAACACTGGTGAAGGGGATGGTCAACAGTGTCACGTAACCTTACTTACCCTTTACTCTCCTAAAGGCGTTCACACATTGGATTAAATGTGAATGGCCAAGGCTACATGGTACAACGGAAAGTGGGCTTGCCTGGAAATCAGGCAATCTGGGATCTAGCCGACCACTCTGACCCTTCCAGGATCAAAGCCAAGAGGCCTTGGACAAGCTACTTCTTTGGCTTCATCTGAAGGGACTGTCGTTGAGATTTCATCAACGTTTATGACTATCGTTCTATGAAATGGTTCTGGAAGCTGGGGCAGGGACCATTTGCTTGTTACTCATGAATTTCAGCTTTTAGGCTAAAGACAGGACTTTCAAGTAGTCTAAGTCCTGTTAAAGTAGTTACAGCCTTGCTAGACTGTACTTGCAAAAAGTGCAGCCTGACTAGCTGAGCTTTTGGCAACCTCCCTCAGTCTCTTGCAGTTTCCTTGTCTGTAAAATGAAGGAGTTTGACTGGAAAAGTCCCTTCCAACTCTAAATCTATGACTGCAAGTGGTAGTTCTTCCCAACTACCAGAAGAGAATGTATTCAGCACACTGTTAAGTGAAAACTTTTCGTTTACAAACAAGGAAGAAGGAGAGTCGCAGCACTCTGAAGGCTATTTTAAAGAGTGAGACAAGTAGATCTAGAGGAACAAGACAGGACAAACGAGGGAAACTAAAGCTGGGAGAACATTACTAATTTAGGATGGCTACCCAGAAATGAGATCCCACTATCTTCAAAATCCCTACTGAGGAACAAGTAAGAGAAGCCGAGAGGGCCATTGTCAGACACAGTGAGAAAGCCAGTGGATTGCCCACCGTAGCCCCAGGACACATCACTTTCCAAAAACATGGTCTAGACCAGAGTGGGGAACCTGCTGCTTGTAGGCCACACGTGGCCCTCAATGGCCGTCAAAGGTCCTTTGACAAAATCCAAGCCAGTCAAAGGGCTGCACTTGAGGCTTCCAGGCAGCAGGTTGTCTGCCCCTCATCTAGACCCTGTGCAGAACAGTATTTTCAACTCTTTTCTTTTTCTTGCTGTTGTTGAACCTGGATGGCACAGCAATAGTCAGAAAAACCTGGGTTAAATCCAGCCTTAGACATTAGCCGTGTGACCCTGGGCAAGCCACTTAACCCATCTACTTCAGTTTCCTCATCTGTAAAATAGGAACAATAGCAGCACCTACCATCCATGGTTGTTGAAGGGCTAAAAGAACATCATATTTTAAGGGGCTTTGCAAACCTCAAAACGTTACGTAAATACTATTTTTTTTTTATGGACCTGCTTTTTTACTCCAGTTTACAGTCTTAGAAAGAGGAGTATTGCCTGGGGCATGCCCAGATTTATTCCCCGAGGGCAGGGACTGTCTATTTGCCTTTCTTAGCATCACCCAGCTTAGCGGAGTCTGGCACACAGGTAGTGCTTAATACATGCTTTTCCCAGGCTTTTCATTTCTCTTTTCGCACATCGATCCAACACCTAGCAGTGCCGGCACATCGGGGTGGCACCTTCACATACACAGACGGCCTGGCCCCTTCTGAGAGGGTCTAAGAACAGGGGTTCAAGTTACGCGCTCCCCACCCCGGCCCGTCTGGGTATAGGGAGAGGGGCCAGATCGGTTTCCTCCTCCCCCAAGGAGAAGCAGAAGAGGGTCGGGTCAGCCCCCAGTCCCTGGAGAAGGAGGAGCTCCCAACCCTGCCAGAAAGAAGAGGAGGAGGAGCTCGGACCCCCGGGGGTCTTCCCCAGGCTCAAGGGGCAGGGACAGATCACACAGCCAGCCCCCCCCCCCCAGGAGAAGGAGCTCAGACCCCTGGGGTTCTTCCCCAGGCTCAGGTCGTACCGCCCCCCACCCCCCTAGAAGAAGGAACTCGGACCCCCGGGGATCTTCCCAGGCTCAGGTCGCACTGTCCCCCACCTCTCCAGGAGGAGGAGCTCCCACCCCCGGGGGTCTTCCCTAGTCTCAGGGGGCAGGGGCAGATTGCACCGCCCCCCACCTCCCCAGGAGGAGGAGCTCGGACCCCCGGGGGTGTTCCCCAGGTTCAAGGGGCAGGGACAGATCTCACAGCCAGCCCCGCCCCCAGAAGAAGGAGCTCAGACCCCCGGGGTTCTTCCCCAGGCTCAGGTCGCACCGGCCCCTAGCCCCCCAGGAGGAGGAGCTCCCACCCCAGGGGGTCTTCCCCAGGCTCAGGTCGCACCGGCCCCTAGCCCCTCAGGAGGAGGGGCTCCCACCCCGGCCCGGCTCCTCCTCCCACGCTCAGGGGGCGGGGCCAGGCCGGTCCCGCCCTCTCCCCTCCCCGCCCCCGCCCCCAGGAGCCGGGTGAGGAGGGCCCGCGAGGCGCGGCGGGCCGGGGGCCGGGGGCCGGGGCGCCTACCTCTTGAGGCAGAGGCGCGAGGGCAGGTAGGCCCGGTAGCCGTCCGTGATGTAGGGGTTGTCCTTGAGCGACACGGGGATCTGCTCGTAGGTGTAGAGGCGGATGCCGCGAGGCACCAGCACGGGCCAGTACTGGTAGCTGCCCAGCTCGATGTAGTGCGCGTTCTTCAGCAGCTTCGGGTGCATCGCGGCCGCCGCCAGCGCCGCCCCTTCCTCGGCCGGACGGCGGACGGGCCCGGCGCCGGCTCCGAGCGAGCGGCGGCCCGAGGCAGCGGGGGCGGCGACGCGGCGCCCGTGGACCCTCCCCGCTCCTGGGCGCGGCCGCCGACGCCTGGTCTGCGCAGCCGCGGCGGCGCTGACGTCATCACGCCGGCTCGGAGGCCCGCCCGGCGCCGTCGCCGTCGCAATCGCCATCGCCTTCGGTCAGGGAGGAGAGCGGAGCGGAGCCGGTGCGAGCGCACGGCCCGCGGGAACGCGCCGGGGGGGGGCAGGGCGCATGCGCGCTTCCCCTCCCTCGAGCCTCCTCTTGTCGCGGCTCGCGCTCGGGCTCCTGACGGGTCCGGGAGCATGGAGGGAGCCTGAGGGGAGCATGGGGGGGAATCTGCCCGATCCCGGCTCCCTTTCGGGAAGGAGTTAACATTTATTAAGCGTCTCTTACGTGCCAGGCGCTGGCCTAAGCGCTGGGGCTGCAAAAAAAGGCAAAAGACAGCCCCTGCCCTCAAGGAGCTTACAGTCTAATGGATGAGCCAACACGCAAACGGATTCGTAGCAAGCAAACTGTAAAAACAAACAAAAAACCTCATTACAGAGCTACCCCAAAGCAGAATGGTCCGCCTGGGACGTAGTGAGCTCCCCATCACTGGAGGTCTTCAAGTAGAAGCCCTAACTTGGGGATGGTGTGATAGGAACCCTAGCCCGTTCTCCTCCCTCCGGATCCTCTGCTCTTTCTCTCCCCTTCTTCCTCCCTCCCCCTGCCCTGTACACGCACAGTCCAAGGAGAGGAGGAGGAGGAGGCGCCCCCTTTACTCCTCACTGCCCCTTCGGAACCTTCTGCCGTCTTCACTCATTCATCTTTCCTCTGTGGACCTGCGGAGACTTACTCCAACCAGATCCATCACCCCGGCTAGCTCCTAGCGGCAGGTGGTTAGTTACTCATCCATCCATCCATCCATCCACCCATCCATCCACCCATCCATCCACCCATCCATCCA